TTCAGGTTTAACTGTTCATTTGCTATTCCTACTTCAATTAATCATTTAGCATCAACAAACATGTAAGTATGAACTTTTCTCGTTTCTTATAATTGGTCCGAAAATCAGGCCAACCTACTGTGGTTCAGTTTATTATGAGTGTTTATTAGTGCTGAGAGCAGATTTTTAATCAACTTTTTATGCGGAAAATGGGGCGATTTAGAGGTAACTAAGAGGAAGTTAAGCTGTAATGCAGACCTAGTGAGCCCAAACAGCAAAAATAGCTGAATAAGGAACAAAATGTGGATTTTAGTTCCAGAAACCCAATTAAACCATGAACAGTTAGAGGTCAGAAAATGTATTGCATGCAGTATTTACTAAAACTAAGGAAATAGCAATGTATATTTTTTACATTACAAATATCACTAACACTAAAGCAAAATTAGTGTAAGCTAAATATATAGTGAAACAAATTGCTAAAATGCTTTCTGATGTGGATCTAGCTGTGGATTAGATGGAGAAAATTAACAGAAACCAATGCCAGATATAATGTCAAACAGTTTGAACTGAATTGATAAAAGGGTTGAATTTTTAATTACAAAAATCTCACCAAACTCCCATTGAGTATAAAGTCAGCACTTATGCGTATTATGCTTTGTCATTGTACCCACAACTATGCACTGGAGGAAAGGTTATGACTGCACTCCTCCCCCTACACACCCCTTTTAACCTGGAATGAACTTGTCTGTTAGACGTCCACCATGCACAAATTGAACAACTGCAGAAATTTTCAGCAGCTTCATCTTAAATTTTGAAATTAAATGTTTTTTTCTACCAATTCTTAGATGAAAACATACCTGCCCTCTGGGGTTTATATCCATAACCTCCTGGGACTTATGCTCCCCTTTCTCAAAAGAAAGCTGCTTGTGTTTGTAGCCCTGCAGTTTCTTCTCCTCCAGGGTGATCATAACGCGCCAGCAGGGAGGGGATCCGGACCCCCACAGCAGATACATTGACTTAGCCATAGTTAGACTCAGACCTAACTTCTTTGAATCTGAAATGTGGTCAGGTGAGCATCAGCAGCTGCCTTTTATTGAGAGGCTGGTGCTCAGAGCCACACCTCTTAGTTTATGTGCAACTCAGAAGTGAAAAAAGACAAGACAGTGAACATTCATTTCTTCATTTATTGCAGAATGTGTTTAACACAGCATTTCAAGTGAAAGCGTCAGCCAGCGCTCCTTTGTGTTCATTTCACAGAAAGGAGCGCACCCTTTGAACCGCTCCATGTCCTTTATTCAAGTTCAGACCAAGTAAAAATGTAACCACAACCTCAGAAACAACGATTTCTGGGATAGACGCGTTTTTTTCATGGGTTTTCTTTACAATTCCAATCCACAGAAACGCCACCTTTCTCACAGACTATAATACAAGTTTCTACAACAAAATTACGCCACCTCACTAAACGTGCACACACTGTGGAACTACAGGATGTTCTACCTGATGAGGGCATTTACACATTTAATGCAGAGTAACAATGACACAGCATGTTATCGCTGCTTTGTTTTTACACTTTACAAAAAGGTTCCTCTGAGATTAAAAAACCCCTCCGTTTCAGTCACTCGTTTTCAGCATAAGAGACAATAAATGTCAGTTAAGGTGCAAGATGTCAGAGCTTTGCTAAATAAATACTGTAAATGTAACACCTTTGAGCCACCGAAGCTTGGACAGTGATTGTGAAGTTACGGCATTGTCCCTTTAAAAAAATAAAATAAAAGGCACTCATCAGACTAAAAACCTTCCGTATTCCTATTTTATATGTACATTTTCTTCTTCGTTAAGGGAGATCATCTGGAATCTGGTTTAAAAACTAATTATAATGCCAACTTACCCTTTACAGCAAAATTCACAGCTTCAATGAATCAGAAATGATCCCTTTGGATTTCTTTAAAAGAACTTTGGATAAATCCAAGATGTTTAATTCATTATAGTACCTAGGACTCTGAGAGAGATTTTTAAACAAGTCTAAAGGAGAATGACATTTTTTAACCTTATGTTTCTGCTTCTATACTTAATACAAATAGAGAACAAACACACAATCAGGTTGGCAGCATCTTCACTCAAACACATTAGTAGCAGCTGGTGAAAACCCTGAAGAGGCTTGTGGCTGGAGGGCTAAAACTCTAAAGGCTGATCCAGACGTCTGACGCCAACATGGTCGCCGGGGCCGCCTTTCCACACCGGTAGGGACAGGTGAGGGGGTCAGGGTGTAGAGCGGTGACTATGTCTATGTGTCTGGAGAATCAGTCAATCCCAAAGCGAGAGCTTCTTCCGGTGTCAGGCCGTTTTTGAGAGTTCGCCTCACTGCACAAAAGACAACAGAGAAGGTGGAAGTTCATTTATCACAGGGCAAAACTTTAAAAATCCTCTCAGATGACATTATGTCGGGTTGCATTTATAGACCCTATATGAATGAGAATCCGATGATTTTCATCTCAACAAATCCGATTAGTTTAGGCTGATCAGAACCCCAAATAGTTCTTATAGTCTATGTACACTTCATAGTGCTACCAGGCAATTTTTATGTCTAAGGAAAACATATTCCAGGAGATTGCAAATTTTTTCTATGCTTTTTTGTACTATATACACTCTTTTTATATTAACTGTGTTTTTTTTTATCTTTAATGACATCTTGCTTTAGCTCTTTGTACTCTATATAAACTACTGTAAACAGAATTTCCCTGAAGGAGTAATCACAAGGGATAAATAAAGTTAAGTCTAAGTCTACAGTAGCAGGAGCACACATTAGTATGGATGTTTTTACTAATTTAAGAGGAATCAAAGCACTTTTTTAGCTTTAGAAAATTACCCTTCTGGCCTTTGAGAAAGATGCCAATAACTGCTTGCTAAAAAACTCCAAAATACGTTGAGTTCCTCAATGAATTTGTAGACCATTGTTATTTTTCTGTCTTATTGATTTGTTTTAGAATTTAAAACTTCATTAGCAATCAGCCAAAATGATCAGAATAAAAAAAAATAACTCTTTCAATAAGTCACTAATTTTCAATATATAAATATATTTGTAAACACTTTTTTTTAATTATGCAGAGGCATCTGAATATTTCCAGAAATGTCAAAAAAGTGAATAGAAAATTTAATGATTAATCTGAATAATAAATATTTTATTTTCAGTTGGATATGATTAGCTTGTAACATCTCTACTTTAAAACAGATAACAAAGAGTAATCAGCTCCTTTATTAGGGTGAGATTAGAGTTCAAAGTCAGCCAATATATTATGCTTTGTCATTGTACCTATGACTAGGTACTGGAGGAGAGGTTGTGATTTCAGCCGCGCCCCCTAAAAAGTAAATAATGTCTACTTTTAATGAACCAAAGGTGAAAGCCAAAGGTTCTTTTTGAAAAGTTTCTTTAAATGGTGAGGTTTAGCAAATAAAAAAAGCAACATTTTGTTTTTATCCTTACAAATCAGTGGTCTCATACTCTTATTCTCAAAGGAATGAGTCCTATAACATTTAGGTGTGTCCCTAGCTTTACAATGGCTGCAGTTCCTCACTAAAATGCTATAAAGCAATGGAAGGCTCTGCTACTGAACTAATATTTAACAAAGGTGTGTTAAGGCAGAGACGTGTCTGGCGGTTGCAGGGGATCAGCGTTCCAGGAATTTGACACGACAAGTGTAGCAATATGGCTTGCACTTGTTTCATGCAAATAATTTGCTTTATTATAATTATGCAGGGAGTTTTACAGTTTATATGGACACTGCAATGTAAATAGAACAGAAGAAGAAAAACAGAAGAAGAAAAAGAAAAAAAAGGTGAAAAGATGAAAGAAAGAGGAGATAGAAACGAGACAATGACAAAACATTTGATATTGGGATGACCCAATAAGTGAGACCCAATAACAACCCATCTCGTTGCTGCTTCGAGCCCGGCTTACTGCACTCCCAGGGAGCCAGCTCCCCCGCTGACTCCAATAGGCACCCCCATTCCACGAGAGCCCCCCCGACTTTCTAAAGTGTCCATTTCTGTTGATGTGCGGCATGCAGAATCTGAAACCAATTTTACTAAAAGCTAAATACTGTAAATTCTCTAATATTGGCCTGTATTCCATTAGCGGCCAGGACGCTTACAATGGCCGCTCTCGCCGTCGGCGGAGGTAAATAATGGCCGGACTCGTATAGAGGCCGGGCTATAATTAGAATGTTGGTTGTGGAGGAGGATTAAACAGAATTGGAGGATTTTGTTGTTGTTGTTTTACTTCAAACTAAACAAGACAATTTGAGTGAGCGGCAAGGTGTCTAAACCTGTAAGTTGCCTTTTGTCATGAATAATTATCACCATGTTTACAATGCACTACGTTTGCTTTGTGGTTAACAGCGTTAAAATGACGTAATTTCGTTGGCCTTCATTGTTCTGACTTTCCCTTGAGATATCGGTAGCCTACTTCAGTTTGGCCAAGATTCCATTCTGTTTAAGCTTTTTTTTCATATAGCCGTGCAGAAAAACTGCAGCTGGTGGAAAATTTCTGAATTATCGGTATTTGTTGATAATTTTCTGGATAACGTTATAGTAACTGTACTTTTTCGATAAATGACCCTAGTATTTTATAGGTTCAAAGAGACACAAAATCTGCTGTAGTCTGTTTTACTCAAATACAAATAGATAGATAATATATAATTCTAGCCTCCTTCCAATGATGGCCTGTACCAAGATGCGACCAAGAGTGAAATAAAGGCCCCATCCTATATTAGAGGATTTACGGTATACTATATTTGCAAATTTCTACTTTCTTTATGATATAGGATTCTAAAGACAATTCTAGATTGGGAAATACAATAATATCTTTGATTATTTATCATCCATCCATCTATCTATCCATCCATCCATCCATCTACACATATATAGATATATTCAAGTTTAGTAAAACTCTGTTCAACGGAGACTCTCCTGTGACACATGGTTCACCTTAAACCGTAATATAAATAATTAATGAATGCTCATTACAAGAAGACTCAAGTGTAGTTACATTAATCCAAATAGTCAATTATATGGGATCTTTTATCTGTAACAGAATTAGGTTTGACGCAGCTGTTGTATGTTTAGAATAAATGCTGTAGTTGAAAAAGAATATTTCCCCAATGTGCTTTAATATTTAAGTACTATGGTAAAATACGCTGGGGGTGAAAAAGGGGCTACAAGCTGTTCTACACTGAAGACATGCTGGATTTTTTTACTTGGTTAATTGTTAAGATTAAATGTTTTTAACAAAAGTTTCACTAAAAGCAGATAATACGTTTTCCTGTTATTTACAGATGGAGCCACTTAAAGCCATCCCAGTAATTCAAACGAATGCCAGTTTCCAGTCACTGTCCATTACTCGCCATTTCATATAGTAGTTATGCTGAATTATAAAGCATATTAAAATTATGTGATTTGTTATTCTGAAAATGATTAAAAATAGAACCATTAGGCCACTGAATCTCATATTAGTGTATCTCTGCTTTTAAACAATAACTGATGTTGAAAGCTTTGAGTCAGACTTGTGGACTTGTTTTTTAAGTCATACATGATTTTCTGTTGGCTCTGGATCTCCTCCTCTCTCTGGGTTGTGTTCTGGTTCCTGGACCTTGGGTGGCTGACCGCACAATACGCTCCATGATCTCATCTGCAGCATCGTCGCCACAAGCCTGCATATCCTCCACAGCAGACGTTCTTGTCGACATGGTTCGACCTGCATGAAGAGATAATAAGAGCTAAACCAGCCGTATAAAAGGTGTTCGGTCTGATGAGGAATCTCCAGAATCCACTTACCTCCCCGTCCTGGGCGAGACCTGGTCCGCGTCCTGAGTCCCGGCACTACCACACCCTCTTTGTCGTTGCCCGTCAGGCTTGTTCTCAGCACAGCCTTCATCTGCTCATGCTCTGCAGCATCTTCACTGTGGCCCAGACCTTGGGGCTGATCACCGTCCTGACCAATAGGGGCGCTGTTGTTACTGCAGCTCGAACCATTGCGACCACCCTGCAGTGAGTAGGAG